AAAAGAGAAGAAAAAAAGTCTAATGAAATGTTTAACAGATTTTTCGGCGGAGACAAAGGAGCGAACCAAAAACAAGTAGCACTGGCAACCCGGCTCATTTTTAACTTTTCCAGCGCTTTATTTAACTTTAACCTTTTTTATGAGCTCTGTGTGTGTGTGTGTGTCGGCTCCTTAATTAGAAGCCATTTTCACTGGCAGCCCTCCACCTCCTGCACGACCTTAGCCCCGTTGCTCAAAAAAGAAAGAGCGCGAAGAGCCTGAAAGCCTAATGAGCCTGTGCCCGATTCGGATTCTGATTCTAATTTTGATGTTGATGCTGATTCCTTTGGCTGTTCGCGCCCCGTCGCTGTTAAACATAATCAGGGTTCAATAAACACACAGCCCGAGCCAGTCGGGGCCGGGCTGCAAATGCAAATCAACAGCTTAAAATTTAATTTAGGCGTTAGCAGTGTAAATACATAAGCCACGGCGCCCCGCGTTGTGTACTTAGGAGCCGCTCTCCGGAGTGACCATTTATGACTTGGGCCTCGTCCCAAATTCAATTCCGAACATTTGGTTAACTTTGTTAAAAAGTCGAAATTAAAATAACGCAAAAAAGTCGCCGGCCAGCTCGGAACAAGGGAAAAAACAAGGGCAGCGGCAGGGGGAAAAAAGTCAAGAAGCGCGTTGACCGCATTGAGGTTTTGACCGCCGCGTGTTACAAAATAAATTGAAAGAAGAGCACCCCTAATCTGGTCTCTCGCTCACCCGGTCGCTTTTCTTTATTTTCGTCCTCCTGCGAGTGTTTTTCTGGCCGAGACGTACAAATTGCACGGCTCAAAGGGAAGTTGATGAGTTCGCGAAGTTGGTTATAAATTTCGCCGAAGAATGATTTCATTTCGTGCGCCTGGCTTTGGCGTTGGCGACACGTTAATCTGCAGCGACGCTGGCAGCCCCCAAAGGGCGCGTCCCGGCTCTATTGAACCCCCATATATAAAATCAATAATAGCATAAATAATATACGTGTAGAAAAATGAGGGAAAAAATGGGAGGAAAACGCCCCAGAGACAAAGGCCTAGGCCCATGGGCCGGGCGAAGGACCCGGGAAAAAGGAGACTCCTCCCGACACATGCCTGTCACAACACAAAAACGAGACCTAAACCAAAAAAATATTACAGGGATACAGCCCTAGAGAGCTGGCGCGAGAGAGAGGGCTATAGGGAGCAAGAAAGGGACGGGCAGGCAGGACCTCTAACTAGCACACAAAAGGCTTTCTCAATGGTTTCTAAAGTTGCAGGCTGCGAAGACAAAAACGGGTGTATCGAGGCAGTAGCTTTTGGGGAGGTGGCCTGGTAGGGTCGAGCCAGTAGGGCGAGTGCAAAGTAAACATGTCGAATGAAGGATACTTAAGCTGCTCGGCGAACGAGGGGCGACCCAAAAGTTGACTCTTTCGTTCGCTAAGTGACTTTGAACTGGCTCACGGCTATTTTTCAAACAAATTGTTTTCCTTTGGTCCTAATATGCACACAATCCTCTTACAGACATTGGCTCCCCGAAGTTGGAAGTTTCTTTTCTCTGAAAGGGTTTGGGGTGGTAAGCTCTCTTTTGAATCGCCGCAGATTTTTAATTTACATTCGCAGTGGGGGCACAAGTATTTACTCTTTATTTGACAAAATAAATTAGTACCATGATGTGTCTAGTATTTGTCAGTTGGACCTCGTATTCCACTTTGTCTTTGACATTGCCGCATTATAATATTATAAACACTAATCCATTCGCAAAAAGCGAAACACAAATGTAACAATTTCGGGGATGCCTTGTGGCACAAGCACACATCCTCAGACACACAAGGGTGTGTCAGGCCCACACCCTCAGATGTCTCCGGATGTTGAGCGCCACTTAATGACATAAACACTGCCACTGGCCGTTTCTCCTCCTGAGTTATGGCATCTCGGGGCCTGAACTCCGGCGGAAGTTGTCCTAATGAGAAAACCGTTGAGCCGCCAATCCACCATTGTCGCCCCAGCTCACGAAAGCCGCAGGAGAAACAGGGTGCTGTGAGCTTTTGGGGAAATTCGGTAAAGCGGTACAAAAGCAAAGCTCTAGAACGATGCGAATCCCTAGCACTAATATTATTAATTTGCAACTTTTGTTGTTTGAAGCGGCGGGAGCCAGGGCAAGTCATAGGCAAATATCATTCGTGCCATTTAGTGGGCAATAAAATAAGGCGAAAAGGAAAACTGGGAATTGCAAAGGATCAGGGACTTTCACTTCCATTTCCAGCCGAGTGCTCGGGGAAATGCGAAACTGATTTAAATGCTTTCTTAAGCGTGTTTCCGGCTACGGTTGTAAATATTTGCTCAACTGATTGCACAGAGGACCGAGAGTGGAGTCGAAACACTCTTTCGAATTAAGTCCTTGCTGCTTGCTGCTTTCCAGATTGATTTTTGTGGTTGCTTTATTTTTGTCCTGCTATTCCCAAAAATGAGTCAGCTTTTCTTCGATTTCTGGCTCTGTCCTGACTCTGTTTTGTGGCCTGTCGCTGTGTGTGACATGTTTTTATTAAACTTTTCATTGATTGAGCAGCAAATGGTGTGCAGTATGAGACACAAGTTTTGTGGTCAGCCGAATTGAATTCCAGTTAAGCAAAAGCTTCCATCAAAGTGCGAACAATTTGCGGTTAATTAAAGCCATTATAAACGATATAAGCGATGCATTTTAATAATTGGTGGGGGGTATAATCGTTAAAACGGATACATGACATTGTCTAATTCCTTAATTAAATTTCCAATCAGAACCGACAAAAGTGTTTCCAGCGCACAAGATACCCGGGACCAGGAAATCATTATGCCAGCCATGAATTTGATTAGCTTATGGCTAAATCCGAGCAGACACGCCAATCGGAATGGCAACAAGAACACCAACACTGCCCCGACCCGACCGCCTTCTATGCGAAAGGCAAACACAAATGCCTCAAGACATTCATTCTATTTATCATTTATCCAGCAATTTATCGAAAGACATTCGAGATGCCGTCGAGGCGCCGAGAGGGGTTCGATGAGATATTGCTGGAATAAATGGAGGCATTTACATTTAAAACATTTATGCGTAAATATTTGCCAGCTTTAAGGGCATTAGCCGCTTTGCCAGGACGAGCGGGGAGTCCCAGGACATATTGTATTTCAGTGGGGAATGGGTAGCTGTCGGTCTGCCACTGTGTCCCCAGAATTCCTCTGAATTTGAAACCATTCGAAAGTTTCCAGCAAATAAAACATGGCAACACGAAGCACACGCATGTATGACTAAACAATCCAGAGCTCGACTCTATTAGTTGAATTCAAACTTTTTCGAGCGTAACTTGAAAAGTTTCAATTTGTGCATGACAATCTCCGTCTGTCTGGCTGTCTGTCAGTCCAACTTTCCACTGTCTCAATCCAGCTGTCGGCACTTGTACGTGTATTTTGGAATGCATGTCTCTCCGACACACTTGGGAAAACTAAAGATTATTAAATATTCAAAAAACACTACGGCCTGGTAGAAACAAATGCTGAAACTGAATCTTAGTCCACTTTGGACAACTGATTTATTTGCATTTTCAATGTTAAGGACTTAATGTTTTAAAGAGATAAATAGTTATTAAAATAAAGTCTTTTGACAAGTGCAGATACACATACTTTGCAAACTTGGCAATAAAGTTTCAACCCTCACGAAGAATCCTAAATTATCATGCCAAAGGTAGCTGAAGTTTTCTGGCTTTCGCTAAATTTGATTTCAAAAGCGGACCTCTAGGATTTCAATTAAATACAGGTGCACTCGTAGGTGCAAATTGAAGGCAGGAAAATCGATAGACAAAGTCAGCTTGTAGTTGAAACTGGCGAATGCAAAAGAAAAAGTCGAAAGGATGGCGGCCCGAAAGGTGAGAGTGTCACATTATTAGGGGGCTGCAGGATGCGGGCGACTGGATCTCCGTCTAAGGCCGCTGTGAAGCGAATCATGTGGCAAATGCCAAATGCCACTCTGACCCAGCGGCCCCAACGGCCCCCAGGAATCCTGATCCTGGCCTTTCTCAGTCCCTCCATACACACTGTGGCCTGGGATGCAAGAACTAACGAGGGGAAATTGCAAAAATGCAATGAAAAATTGTTTGCTGAGCAACTAAAATGGGAAACTGCATTTTTCACTTGGGACCCAATAAACTGAGAAAGCTCCTGTTTACAAGGTTTTCAACTTTTGAAGGTAACTGAAATATAAAATTCCCTTTAAGACGAAAGTATTTGCAAGTCCTTCAGAGTAATTTTTAGTGTGCTTCTACTTTTTTAATAGCACATATTTTAGCCATTTTAGGAGATGGCTTAAAAGTATACACTACTTGTGTAAACTTTTTAGTGAAAGTTACAATATTTAGTGTATTTATGCAGAGTAGTTTGTGAGATCGCTTTAAGCATTATTTTTATCAAATTTTTAATATTTAAGTAACCTGCCAGGGCTCCCAACTATTTAACCTCGCAAACTACATCCTTAAGTTCTGAAAATCAGGGCCTAATGAAATCCAAACCACTGTTCATTGAGAGATTTGTATCATTAGAGACCCAGACAAGTCAGGACATTCCTGGCAGCTGGTTGTTCTAAGGGCCCGGCCGACGGCTGCTAGTGTACATATTTAAAGTGTCAGACGGGTAACGGTCTTAACTTTATTAAAAAGGCAGCAAAGGCCAGACGGAGATTGGTAGTGAATGTTGCAGCAGAAAGAGGGCAGGGGTGTTGGGGGCTGTGAGGTTAGGTTCAGGTTATTCTGGGTGACCCCCAGTGCCGTTCAACTAGACACCGTTTTCCAGTTTACGTAACCACTGAAAATGGCGCTCAATGTGTTTCCCGTTTTGCTGTGAGTTCCGTCCGAGTGTTTGTGTGAAAATTCGTGTGTTTCTGTGTGCGCTTTTTTGTGTCTGGCTGTTTCTTTTTGTGTTTCTCTTTCACGTGCTGCGCCTGCAAGTAGGCAACAGAACTTTTTATTGTTTGGTTACTTGCTCAACACGCGCCGTCCATCCGCCGCGCCGCTTCTACTCCTGCAGATGGGCGCCTGAGGATGAGGGAGCGTGGCGGCGGCAGGATGGGGCCGCGAGCCGCGACGCCTTCATTGTCCTTCTTGATTTGCCTTCTGGTGTCGCTCAAAATGAGCAGGGGGCGTGGTGCCGTACAAAATAAAGAAACTTTTCCCGCTTGTTGTTGCTTTTATCGCAGTTTATTGTTAATTTTTGTTCTACTTGTTGTTCCTGCTATTGTTGTTGTTTTTGTTGTTGTTGCTGTTGATAACAGTCCAAACTTTTTAACACGCGCGGTTCGTAATTTTTTAATGTGTGTGCTGTTGTGTTGTTTGGCTTTTTGCTTCTTCTATTTTTAATTTGTTATTAGCTTGAATGTTTCTAAAATTATATTACTATGGCTAAAGCTAAAATAAAAAAACAAAGGAAGAGAACCAAAATCGATTTGTTAAAAGGGAATTTCTTTTTGATTTCTTTTTGTTCCCCCACTCCTTGACTCCTGGCCAAGTTACCAGCACGTACGAACAAGAAAAGTCGGCCTATTGCCTGCGGCGGACACACATAAATGGAGTTTCCTTATTGTATCGGTTTTTTGGAGTGCCGCCGAATGGAAACACGCACACGCGAACTCCGACTGCCCAGCCGGTCTTTTTTCAAGTAACTTTACCGTTAGAGAACCAACACTTGAGACGGCTTACAAGTCGCTAGAACAACTGTCACTGGCACTTTCGACTCTCCACCACTGGCGCTGACAAGTGGCCACAGGTTTTGAATGGCTTTCGTTGCGGTTCCTCAACTTGCTGCCCGCCAGCAGAGTGTTTATATATTTGCTGCCGAGAGGCGTTGAGATGAGCTCTTGCTCTGGAAACTGGCCACCGACTGAGCCTGGCCAAGAAGTCGAGGAAGTCCTTTGGCGGCAAACCAACACAAGCTGCGGCGAATTGGCCAGCAGAGAGCGCTGAGAGCTTCTGCGCAGTGGCTTTTTGGCGGGAAGCCGGAAATTCGAATGCTGCCCAGGGTTGCATGGAAGAGGAGTGGATAATATTTTAACATTATGACTGAAAATCCTTAAATTAAACTTAGTGATTAGGGATACATTTTTAATTTAGTATATATAGCCTTTCAATAGCTTTATTTCTCTAGAAATCCCTAATAAACACTTACTACTTTTATAGTACTGCTACTACTATCAGAAGCAACCCTGTGCTTGCTAGCCCCAGATCAGCTGATGAGACACATATCTCCACAGCCCCCAACCCCCATCATGGCCATGCCACCCCTGTGGGAAATAGCTGACTGCCGAATTTGCCGCACAAAAAAGGAAAAGAAGGCGCTCAAGGCACTCGACAACTATGGAGCTCGAACCGCCTCCCCGCCCGCCTGCAAGGGCGTCAATATTTGCATTTGTAATAAAAATATTTTGATGCCAACCAGTCGGGGAAAACGCGTGCGTAAATCTAAAAAAGATTTGTTATTTCAGCGCGTGTTCATGTCGTGCAAATCAGACAGCACTAACAAAAGCAACAATGCGACAACAAAGGGGCGGGCCAACACAACATGCACAACAGCAACATCAGGAGCAACAACATCAGCTGACGATAGCAATACTCCCGGTGTCTGTGTCTGTGCCTCTGCACATGTCAAAGTTATTAAAATTTCATAAAAAATACGAAGGACCGAATTTGATTTCTCGATTGTTGTGTCACCAACAGCAGTTGTGTGCTTGTGTGTGCCAGATATTTAAGTGACGCCCTGATTGACGGCCTGCCTGATAAGGTGCAGGACTTGTCTCCATTTTAAATATTGAAATGCTGTTGCTGCTGCTTCTGCTGATGATGAGCAATGAGGCAATGAGGCAAGCGAAACCAAAACCATCTTTGCCCTCCGATAGGGGCCAAAGGGGGCGTGTCTGTCACTTGTCATGGCCAAATTGGCGGGAGCCTTATGAGCGATGATTGCCGCGAAGGCATCCCTGCATCACTCACTTAGTTCTGCGGAGGATGGGTGCAATCTAGGATTCCTCTGACTTTGATGAATTAAGTTTGATTTTGATTCGCATTTATTATGCGTAAAAGCTTGCTTCAAAGGCCAATTTAAAAAAAATATCTGGTACACGAGTACATAAATAGGCGCTGGAATAGCTTAATACTCTTACAGTCAGTTACATAATCATGGTGTTTTTATATAGAAAATATATGACTGGCAGACTCTCACTTAAAAAGACAAGAAAGTAGTTGGAAAGAAAGTAGCGTCAAATTTTTGCCATTGATGGATAACAGGTTGATCCAAATGGATGCTGAACAAGTGGTCATTATATTTCGTTCACCACACAGAAAATTTGGAAGCTTTTTCCTCATTATCCAGGATACTATCTGGTGGGCATCTTCAAGTCGAACGACGTTTTCTTAAAAATAGCTGTGTTTTCATAAATGATAGAATGCATATATGCATATAAGATAGGGAGTAGAACTTTTAAAAATATTCCGTAATTTTTAGTGAAATGTTTTAAAATACATATTTGAAAATATTTTCAGCAAGGAAGGTCATTAATCCAGTTATCCAATTAGAATCTCCTACTTTTTCTTCCTTGCCATTTGGAGCAATATTAGCTGCCATTTAAAACTGGCAATAAAATTGTTGGCAAAACTTTCAAAAATGTTCTCAATTAAATATGAGGAACAAGCCATAACTCGTTTAATACTTCTTAGAATTGACTTCTTTTGAAGAAATTCGAATACCTTCAGCTGGAAAATAAAAACTTTTGCAAACAGGTGCAAGAGAACATCAGCTATTTAAAGCATTTCAACCTTCTCTGTAGCAGGTCTTACGATAAATTACTTTTCCGAAAGAAAGGACGAGGGGCTGAAAGGATGGGGTAGGTCTGTATCATTGCCATGGCGCCGGTTAAATTACACACGCATTTGCCAAATAAAAATCACTCATTCGACGCGTGTTCCCGCCACGAAGCCTTCGTTGCCACGGGGCTTTCGAGTAAATTTTGTAATTTGTCAGCCAAGTCGGGAGACTTGACAGTTATTTAGAAGTTTACAACTGTCGCCGGCAGTAATCAGCTTTACTTTTGTTCCGATAATATTCCGTTAATGTACTTGGCCCTGTCCCTTCCGAGTAATTGAAGTCCCCATCGAGTTTGTTTACTTTTGGGTTTTCGGCCCAGAAGAACTTTGCCCCCGGGTCAACATTGGGTTAGAAATAAAAGGAATTCGTTTGGCTATACTTGTAGTTGATTTTTTGGTTTTAATTTTATTTTGCTTTGCTTTCTGCATGTTTTCCAACTCAAAGTTCGTTATGTTACTTTATAATACATTTGCATTTCGTATTCACTTAGTTAGTAGCATAGTTTGCCATTTATGTGTTCTGCATGTCAGTTTAGCTTAATGTTAGAATCCTATTTTGTTTTGCATAGAAAATTGCACAGCAAAACGGAAAACAATGTAACAAAAAGTTCAGTTGTCAGTAGTAATAAATAACTCACACATCCTCTCGTTTGCACAGACATATCAATATACTGTACAAATATAAATTACGTACACAATTATTAGTAAAGGTAGACGCTGTTTATAAAAATATAACAAGTTCTTTGGGGGTTTGGTTAACAGGTTTTGTGTTTCCGATTTTCAGATTCAACTTTATTAATTCTGCTGCTTTATCTTTTTAAGGAAGGTCATACAATAAATACTTACTATGTATGCAACATTTATATAGACATCTATTTATACACTCTTTATATAGTACATTGCGAGCTTTGGCTCTTAATCTTTCTCCGCAACTCCCGACAATAGTTTTGGATTATATTTTACGATTTGTTCTTTGGACTAGCATGGGAAATCGGCATGGAGTTCGTATGGAACAGTGGCTGCTATTTTATTAAAATTTATTTCCAAGAATTAAACTCGCTTTTGTGGCTGGTTCTACTTGACAAATGCTTTCGAGGTTCGGCCTGCCTTTGCGAATTAGTGGGAAAATCATAAATTGGTTAGTTTCGCAAAACTGTTGCTATGCTGCTACCATTTCATGGAGTCCTTACTTATTTATACAAAGTACCTACACAAAATGCTTTGTGCGCATAATTTGCTTTATTTTCCCCATTTGCATTTCATAGTCGTGGAAGTTCTGTGGCGTTCCGGCTGGATTTTCATTGTCGTGGCATATTGAACACGGTTCACGGCTCTTTCTGCTGTACTTGGGCCGCAATTGCTGGAATCAAGTTGCTGACTTCTGAAGCAGTTCTCAAGCCTTGCCCTCACAGGCTACACAGTCAACTTAATTCCAGGAACTGCAACGCAATTGCCTTTTGTTGGTAGCACTGACACACCCACTAAACACTTCGGTTCGACACTAAACACGTTGGAACGGAAAAGGATACGGAAATGGATACGCACTACACATACTCGTAATTTGGTTAGTCTGATATCGATGCACTTGAACTATATGCTGGTTAATTTAATTCGACTTTAGGTTTTACATTCCGACTGCCACCAGAGACGGCTGGATCGTATATATATTGATTTGACTATATATTTCGCTATATACTCCATATACTTGTTTAAATTTAATTTACGTTTTTGAGCATTTCTTATTTATGCGATTGTCGATCAAATAACAAATTTTATATTTGGTTTTGGGTTAGCTTTGCTTTAGCATCCATGGTTATTCTTAGTACTCTTTTTTTGTTTTTTTTTCGGAATTTTTAATTGCCGTGTTGCAGTGAGTGCGTGTTTTTTTCGCGTTGGGAAAATCTCAATTTTTGGGGGGTTTTTTCTGGTATCTGGTCTTCGCTCGAGGGCTTCTATAATTTGCGGTCACTTAATTGGCACAGTTTTAGCTTTAGCTCTTTTGGTTGGCTTTCGTTTTCGTTTGTTTTGCGAATCCCTATTTACACGCATAGCTCAGTGAGTTGCAGTGATTGCCATTTTAATTATGTATATTTTTTTGTTCTTTTTTCATTTTGTTTTTTGCGATCAAAATGCTTTACAATTTTCCGCTTGGCATACATGTAGAAATGAGTTTACAACCTGTGCTTAATTTAGTCGTACAAAAATACTCAGTATTTACAACGCGAAAGCATAAAAAAATAATTACATTCTAGGGGCCTGTTCTTAGCTCGGCTCGAAAGCGTGAACTGAAATAAAAACGTGAATTAAGATTAAAAAAAAAAAAATAATAATAATAACGAAACAAAACAAAGTGCAGCAGGGCACGCTCCAGCGATTGATTGATTAATGTCAACATTACGAGTAAATCAGCCGATGCATGAGCCGGCATATTAATTTTACAAATTAATGGAACATTTTAATTGCATTAAACTGATTCCCTTTCCGGCTCCCTCATCGATTTTACACATGACTCGAGGCCGTCGAGGCGGCGGCATTGTTGTTCTTGTTCCATTTGTTAATGTACTCCATGGGTATTTCGATCTGTATCTCCTGCACATCGTCGCCATCGAGATTCGATTTATGGCTCTTGCTGGCTGCTGCCGCCGTTGTGGACGCAGACCCGCCTCCGGCGCCGCCTGCCTGGGGGCACCCGGTGACACCCAGACGGGCCGGGGTGTCCCCGCCGGCCGCCAGACGCTGCTGCTGCTGGGCAATCGGTGTCAGCAGCGCCTCGTCCCTGTATTATAAGTTGTCAACCATCTGTGACTGGCGGCGGTGCGAGGGGGTCGTCGAGTTCAGATAACTCTCCGAGTAGACGCTCTTGGCCCGCTGGTCGTAGCGCAGGCTGGAGCGTCGGATGTCGATGTCCAGGGGCAGGTGGCGGTCCTTCCACCAATTGCAGAACAAGCAGAGCAGAGTGTTGCGGAAGGCCTCCCGGAAGTCCCTGTTGAAGTACGCGTAGATCAGGGGATTCAGCGTGGAGTTGAAGTAACCGATCCAGAACAGGATCGAGACTACGATGTCGGGCACCTGGCACACGGCGCATGTCATGGAGAGGGTGTACCTGTATAAAATGAAAAATAAATTATATTAATAACATAGCATATTCTTATTTAATATGAGCTATCTAAAGTCATCTAAAATTGTGATACAAAAATGAAACTTTTTTAGTGCTATTACTGATAACCAAATTATCTATAAGGAGTCTATAGGAGTTAAGACCCTTATCATTGGAATCTGTCATCTCATTTTCTTTCGGTGTTGGCCAAGTTGAGAGATATCCATAAATTCTTGATGCATGAATGAGCCTGAGCCTTGCATAAATGAGATTATGAGCGCGGATGTGTGGAAAAACAACAAACCGCCGAAACAATGGCAGACCCGGCCCAGTGTCAGGACCGAGGGGCCTACAGGGCGTATGAGTAATATTTAATTATGCATGCGTGACATTAGATAAATTATGCCTCAAATCCCATGTCAGCGGGACTACGGCGATGCCGATGCCACGCCGCCAACACACTCACCAAAGAAAGAATGGCAGCCAGCAGAGGATGAAGGTACCCATGATGATGCCCAGCGTGCGTGCGGCCTTGTGCTCCCGCTTCATTTTGATTAAGTGCTTGTCCTTAGTGGGGGTGTGCTCCTGCTCGACCTCGTGTAGTGTCAACGTTTTCGAGGACCCAGAGCCGCTCATCGCCTCGCCTGTAGGGGAGAAGATGCAGATTTGATAAATGTCCAGGTTGCCAGCCCATTTTATCATTTAGAACTAAGAGAGACGTATAGTTCGCAGCGGTAATTTTATAAAAGCGGTAGCTACCAAGTGCATTGTCCTTGCGATATACTTATGAAAGGGGCTACTTTAATTCTATGACCCAGTTTTAAAGGAAATTGAAGTATAATAGAAGTACTTCAATAGCCTTGATGGAAAATTATCTATTAACTTTAAACAAAGAGAGTATGAACTAGAAGCACTTTTTATTTATTATTTATTTCAATAGCCTGTTACTTAAAAAGACCAACTAATTAATTCAAGAAAACAAAATGGAAAATTAACATACTCTTTATTGGCCTTTAAAAGAGGAGAACAAGTGTCTTTTATAATTGGTTGAGATAATTTCAGAGCAATATGCAAATTTCTATACTTTGTCCTTTGTCGAAAATGTACCCAATATTAACCCTGAGAATGGCTATTGAAACCGAAATAACCAATAAAATTTGAATATCAAGACATACCCGACGGCTGCATGGAAGGTCGGTGCATCAGCATGGCGTTTCCGTGTCGCATCATCAGCTGCTTCTCCTGGCGATTGGCCTCCCGGAAAATGGCAAAGTACGTGAATATCATAATCGTGCAAGGGATCCAGAACGAAATCGAGCTTGAGATGATGGCGTAGTATTGGTTGACCACGAACATGCACTGCTCCGGGTGCTGAATGACGAACACCTTGTGCTCGTCGGTGGTGTACCACCCGATGAAGATGGGCAGGAACGAGAGCAGGGCAGGCGACACCCAGGTGTTCAGCAGCATAATGCCGACCACGCGTTTCGTCATGCTAATCGGATACTTGAGCGGCTTAACAATCGCATAGTATCTGGAATCAAAAAAGCAGCGACAAATTCCACGTTATTGGTGCTCCGAATATCGAGGTTTTCATATCAGGGGACATTACCTATCCACAGATATGCAGCATAAATGCAAAATGCTCGCTGTTGAGAAGTAGACGTCGAGACTGTTCCACAAATCGCACAGGAAGGGGCTGAAGTTCCAGCTGAAAGAATCCAATAAATATAGGCATCAATGTCGTAATATCGCAGTGAGGGGGCAATCAAGTTTCGACTGTGACTCTGAGAAGTCATTATATCTGATTATCGAATGCATGAATGGGCAGTTTTCGTTTTGATGAATCATTTCTGGTGTGTTTTTCTTTTATTGGCTTATTTTACAATTGCCTGCGGAAATGTGTTTTATAAAGTCATGGCATTAAAACTTGTTTTCAGCTTTTTCTTAGCAGATAAAATGCTCTGTGAAAACGACCCATCATCGCCTTTCGCGCAAAATGATATGGTAAGCGACAATAAAGGTCCCATGCTTGTTCTAAGGATATGATAAAAACAACAGCCAGTCTTGTAAACTCATCTTTATTCGACAATTTAAGGCATCTCCTCAATTTCAGCGATGGCATTAAAAATTTCATAGCCCCGGGAAACAGTGCAGGTATTTTACAGCCGACCCTGAAATTTGGGCCACTTAAAGCCCCACGTCTCGTATCTTGCCAAAAAAAGGACCCACCCGCCCCGCTGCTAGACTCTCTTATCAGCTTGTCTGATTTATGGGCTTATCGATTTCATCTTAGTTTCGGTTGCCAGGTGACATTGCCCCTGAACTGCCTCTGGTGGGGGCCAAATTAAAAGCTTAAATGCACTGCGAGACCAGAAAATAGGCCATCTGGCTGCTGGCTGGAAGGGCGAGGTGGCGGGACGGAGGACCAGGGTGTGGGCTGTTGGGCTGCATGAAAAACTCATTAAAACTTGCGTCGCTGTTGCTGTTGCCTGTCGCCGTCGCCCTTGGTTGCCACTCCGACGAGGTGGCTCAGTGGCACCCCGGCTCGGTGGTTCCCCGGCCAGGCTTTTTTGGCCAGAAGGCAGTGGAATTTATTATCGGGCGCCCCGTTTGGCATCAGTTTCAAAAACTTTTTGACTATTCGAGTGGGCCCAAAAGCAGGCAAAACAAGAGGGACTACAAAAATATTTCAAAATTAAAAATTATATTGTTTATGAAAAGAATCTTGTATATTTTCTAATGAAATAAAATTAAAATATATAATTTATCTTGGAAAGATATTATTTTGGATGAATAGTATTTTCTCTCTCTGCCTTTTTTAGGCTTTCACTTTTCAAGGGGCGCCATTCTTCTTAGTGCCTGCCACGAATTGACGCTTGAGCCCTGAAACGAGTGGCAACTACGGCGACAGCGCAATTATGCAACAGCAACTGCAACTAGTGCATCTGTGAAGGTAAAATCGCTAATGAATGCCAAGTAGCAGCGCCAATTTATATGCAACTCTCGCGGCCAAGTGGCTGACGTCTGGAGTTTTATTTTTTGGCCTGGCTGTAAGTGCACATAATGTGACTTGACTGCTGCTCCTGCCCACTCATCATCGTCGTAATTGTCATTGTCATCTTGGTTATTTTGTGACATTGCCAACATTTGCTTTGGCCCCTCGGAGGGCTTAAAGCGCGGCCTTTAAATCAGCCTCCATGCATAATTAACTGGGCCGAGTCGCCAGTCTCCTGCACTTGGCACCTCGCATCCTTGTGCACAGCCACATCCAGATCCACATCCATATATTACATTACCCACAAAGGCGGAGTCGGACCGGAGGAGGACATTCGGCGTGAAGGATGTGACCATGTCACACTCTGACGGTTTTTGTCCTTTAGAATAGCAATTCAAAGATGTCGTTTCTCTCTCGTTATGCTTTCCAAAGGAGTCTTTTAGACAATTGGTTGGCTTGGCTTTAAAACAGGATTTAAATTAACAGTTTATGGCATGGAAATTAGCTAGTATGATTGGAAAAGCTTAAAGTGGCTAGCATTTAAAAAGAAGAAAGTTTAGCTTTAACACTTTAGTAATAGAAGGTATAAGATTTAAACAGAATAGTTGAAAGAAATTTAAATGTGGAAAGAATAATAATAAAACCGATTTATCTGTTTTCTATAAATAAAAGTAATGAGTATCCTGATGGCCTTTTTCCTTACAGAGTACATTTTTGTTTGTCCTATTTTTACTATTTTTTACATTTTAATTCTTGAGCACAAATGCACGCACACGAGCGAAGGGCGGGGGAGGGGATGCCTTTCTGCATTTGCATTTAACTCACACAACCGCACAGACATCTGCATACACGAATACATCCTGGCCGTAAGGATAGCACACACACACACAGGCGGGCGACATTCACAGGAGCATAAATAAACGTTGCTTTCATTTTTCAGGGATTTTTGTTTTCGGTTGTTTGTTCTGCCACTGCCACGCCCACGTCCATGCCCAGTGCCACAGCCGACCAGCGGACCAGCCGCCCACCCACCTTGGACGTGCTGGCATTTTGTTTGGTCTTGCCTTTGGTTGCAGCTGCGATTTTTGCAACAGTTTTGCTTACTTTTGTTGCTCTGCTTAGGCCTTCACGGGGGGAGAGTGGGTGTGTGCTTTTGTTGTGAGTATGTGTGTAGGTTTCTATGGTAGTTGTTTTTGTACTTACCGCCCAGTTACTTGCACACTAAAGTTAAATGTCATGGCCATAATAGCGACCATTATATCAGCCATGGCTAAGGAAACTACAAAGTAATTCGTTATAACTCTGCAAAGAGAACGATGGGAAAACGAGATGTTAGCAATCAGAGAACAATATCCAACAATAAGAGGGCTGAGGGACGGTTGGGGGAGGTTCAAATGAAAATGGAAATGTAGATGGGGATGGGGGATTGGGGAACCCCCGGGGTGGGCTAATCAGGATATCGTATGGGTGAATGCGTGAAAGAGCGGGCGAATTCAAGGATATGACTGCTCCGTATGAGTTCTTATTGGACGTGGGAAGGACTTCTTTTGTGTGTGATGGTGTATGTGGGCTGACAGTTGCCTGCCCCTCGGGTGCCAATGTGGACTTTTACGTTGCACTCGGCTGCCTGCGGGGGGATATAATTGAAAAGCCAGTCAAGAATCGAGAACGATGTCGAACCAGGTTCGTTCCACTGGGTCTCTAACTGAAAGAGACAGAGACCCCACACGGAGGGCGACTCAAACCGCAATCCTCTGGGTAAACGCTTCTCGGTTTATACCTATTTTCTTATTTAAATTGAATTTCAAGCCCAGTGCCAGCAAATGCTTTTGCCAATTAGAGTTTCGCATTGGTTGTCGACTGAGGACTTCCTAATCGGATGTTGTCAGCCAGCCAGTAGCTACTCCATTGAACTCCAAGCGGTCGCCTTTCAGCTGCCATTGCCAATAGACCAGATGGGGAGAGTTCATTTAATCGAAAGTGAGCATTAAGTACACTTGGAAAATGTATAAGCTTCCAAAAGGTAAATACTGACATAATAAATATCTACTCATTATTTAACACCACAAAATGCTGACAAAGCCAAGAGTTATTTACGTTTTTTATCCACACCGTTTAAATGTTTTTGGGGAAATGATTTAAAACCAAACATAAAAGTTTAATCGAAAACAGACAAATCTGTTTCTCGTTTTTATGATATTCTGTGGTGTGTTTGGATTAAATTTATTGGTAGGTATATTTAATTGCCCTAATATACTGTATTAGATTTCTACTTTATCCAAGTTTCCTTAATGGCTCTTAAGAAGTTTCTCTTGTAATTACAAAAACTGCTCCGCTTTAAAGACCCTTCTTAATTCCAACTTCTCAGGCTATTGTACTTGCCTTGTAATCTGTTTTGCCCCAGGGCCACTACTTAAATAACTTTCAACATCCTAGACGTTAATTGCAACAAATCGACGCCATTCTGCAAATGTTCGCCCATTACTCAGCTGCTCCTAGCACAGCCCGAACATCCTTTAGCGATGAACTGCAAATAATTTGCCTGCCATTTAAATTTGAGGCAAAAATAGCAAAAAGTGCGGAAGCAGCATCCGAGCAATAGCATCCTTCAAGTGAAGGCGCTGAGCGTTAATGAGCTTTGTCCTCCTCCGGCCCAGCCCTCTTCCATCCACCGCGATGGCAAACACATACAGCATCCGTATATATAGAATCTAGATACTACACGTTCTATAGGTATCTGATGGGGGACTCTATCTAGCACACTTTGCGATGCGGCTCATCTCGGCCAAATAATTTGGGCGGAGGGGCAGGGGCGCAATTTTATTGTTTGGCATAGAACATTTTAAATTTATGCTGTCATAAAAACCATAAGCTGCCTTAATTGCCAAAGTTGTTGCCACTGCTCTGGTTCTGGCTCTGACTGCCCCACCTTCCCGCCCCAGCTGAGATACTTTCGCTTCGGCCTGCACTTTGTTTTTGTTCCATTTCCCTTTGAGCTACACGCTCGCACTGTTTAATTGTCATTTCTTTGGCGGGTTTTGGGAGAGTGTGTGTGGCGTGTGTAAGCGTTTTAATTTTTTCTTTTCTCATTTTTTGCCTTTTCTGTTTGTAAACTTTTTCCACATTTTTATACCCATTGCCTTGTTTCACGCTACGTATGCGTAATATTTTCCTGCACAGAACAATAGAATTTTGTGCACTGCCGGCAGGCTGCAGCTGACCGCGCGGATGAAGTTTTTCCATTTCGTTTTTGTTGAGCGGTTTTTCCAAAATTAATTATTCTACTGTCTATTTTAGTAATATACCCATTTTTTCGCTCTAATGATCATTAATCGGTCGCATCATTAGTGGAGCTACCTGACACGCAAGTCACTTAAAACATAAAGCGCCTCTCATTAGTAGTCCCGGCAAAAAAGGGGGAATTAAGCAAAGTTGAGCCTTAATTATGCCTCGCCCCCCCTTTTTCTACCATTTTTTGCATTGCAATATTTTTTCCCGCCTCGCCGGGCCATCAAAGTTTGTTTGTTTCGCCTTTTGGCTTCATTGCCCTTTGCCAACTTCTGGCTAAGAGCATTTAAAGTTTCTCCTCCTGCCTGTTCGGGATAAAAACTCCTCGTGCCGGCGTTTGTCATCCCGGGATGGAACTTTTGATTGTGTTGGAAGGTGGAGGTGGGGCTTTATGAAGCGCTAAATTGATTTGCCTGCCAGTTATTAGGGCATAACTGAAAATATTAACGAACCAAAGCCAGCTGACGTCTCATCATTTATCACTACAAACTTTTTTTTATGATAATGTGATTTTGTCCGAAGGACACCGCCCCCAGTTCCCCCCAAGGGCGGCGAGGTCGCCCACTGTGGAAGTGTATGTGAAAATAGACAAACAATTTGGAAAATGAGCGTTTATTTGCCCATTACTATTATGGCGGGACAGTCATCAGATTCCAAAATAAAACCAAAACTCTGCAAAATATTTTGATTAGCTGAACTAATATTTACGGCCACTAAATGCCGGAAAATTGTAAAGTATTTTCCATCGGGTGATGGAAAACGAGTTTTCACAAATTAATTCGTTAACGGAGAGTCCGTCCAATTAGGAATCTCTTAATATGCAAATTGCCTTCATGAATAAAGTAATGAAAGTTAATTTGTCATTAAAACAATGCAATCCAGATCTTTTGTTGTCGGGAATGGCAGCCTCGGGTGTGGGGAAAAATTGCAGTCTCATCTCCTAGATGGAACTGGTCTGTGAAATGCTCAATTATGAGCTAAATAAATAAGGGAAAAGGACTCTGGGTCTGGCTGAGAGCGAGCACCGAACGAGGTCCTGGCATAGGACTCGGGGACTCTGTGAAAAGGCCAAAATAGGGACGTGCGGACGTGCATGAATTTTATGCAAAGTTGACGAAAATCGCGCATAGAAAGCGAAGCGCTTTGTAATTTTTTTCCAGTTCCCAGCTCCCAGCTCCAACTGGCTGGATGGGCGAGGAGCTCTGCAAATTGGCAATCAAGACAGCCCGAGGACAATGCCGTTTGCTGCCAGGAAACAGTTTTATGCAAATTGCGAGTGAAAAACGAAAAAAAAAGAGAAATTACAAAGCACTAATTGCTTTTTCACTGATAATTAGAATGAGCTGAGCCAGCACAACATTACGTATACGCAGGGTGGGAAGAGTGAGCGGGGTGATAGGGGTGAGCTTAAATATTACGTATACGCACCTTAATTTTCTAACACGCATCACAGAAATAATAACAAGCAGATTGCCACAAATGGCTGCAATGATGATGAACAGCATGACGAAGGCCTTGAGCGCCCAGAAGATCTCGTCCAGCCAGTCCTGGCCAGAGTCCTGGCCGATGCCTCCGGCGTCCAGGGAATCGTTCGCGAGCAATCCTGCCGCTGTCGTGCTGCTCAGCAGTGAGGCGTTTAGTTCGTGCATAGCGGGCGTGGCGGTGGGCGTGGCAGTGCCGTGTAGCGGCAGTGCAGCGGTTGCCGAGGCTGAGGAGCCCAGGGAGCCGGTGGCCAGGGCGTTCGTTGTATGCAGCATGGCCGCCGCTGTCAGGGCTGCCGCTGTGATCCGCGCCAGATTAAGACTTTGGCTTTGACTATGACTTTGGTTTTGATTATGGGTTTGGGTTTGGGTTTGGCTATGACTTTGGCTATAACTATGGCTGTGTTGTGGCTCCTCGTTCGCCACCTTCGGCTGCTCTTCGCAGCAGCATCCCTGTCTTTTGCGTATCCTTTTTGTGGCACAACGCCTTCGCGGCTCTGGGCCGAGTTCGGAGCACAACAACATGGGTATTGAATGTCCTGGCTACTTGGCTCTTATTTTTCTCTATTTTGTTCACACTCTTAACTGTGTTTTTCTTTTTTGTTTTTGGGCTTTCTCTCTTCCTCTTAGAGGCAGGGGGTTAACACTCCGTACTCGCAACACTAACACCAATAGCAACAACAACGACCAAGGCGACCGCCATTTGAAATTCACGACACGCGTAGCGCCGGCGACGTTGAAACCAAAACTGAAACGGCCACCGCAACGGAAATTGATTCGCGAAAGTGGCCCGTACCGTGTGGCTGCTTCAGCTGCTGCTTCTGCCTCCGTCTCTGCCTCGGTCGACGTCAGCGTTAACGTCCACGTCCACGGCGCTGTCCTTGCCAGCGAAACGACGCCCACACTTTTTAGATGGCCTCGCCGCTGTCGCTGCTTGTCGCCGCCTCTTCTGGGGCTGGTTGTTGTTGCTACTTCAGCGGCTGGACTTTCGGCTATTTACTGGTGAGGCTTCTGTTATTTTTTGTATTTGTATCCGTAGTTCCTGTAGCTGTTCGTTGATTGGCTTTTTTTCTATTCCAGCTCCAAGCGGCTGCTTTTTAATTTTGTTCATATTTTTTACTGCGGCTGCTGATGCTGCTGTGGTGGCCGCCTTGTGTTGCTGCCACCGAAAAATCGTTGATTTCTTTTGGTTTTATTTTTAACATTTCTTTGGCTTCAAATTATTTTTAGTTTTTTTCGCTTTCAGCTCTGCGTCTCCACTAATTCAAATATTGTTGTTCGATGTTATTCCTTCTGGAACTGTGCCATAAAAAATTTAGAAAAAAAACCGAAAGTTAGTTGGAGGAATGGAAAACATGATTCCGATTTGCTTATTGTTGCCCCGATTATAATCACTTTTGTATTTTTGCATTATCTATTGTTGCCTCTGGCGTTTATATCGATTCGAGTCAATATTTGTTTATTTACTGACGCAGAAAGTTGAGTTGTTGATGTTGTGCGTGTTTTTCGGGCTTTTATGCGAATTAAAATGGGTGTTTTTTATTCTCTCACAGGGTAAAAAAATAGGTTGAAATAGGTATGTATAAAAATAAATAAAAGAGTCCTAATTAATGAGAAAATAAATACTTAAATAATAATAAATAAGAAGCAAAAATAAACAATAGCGAAAAAGCCTTTATAGTTGGCAAGGTGTCTTACTGGTATTTTCAGGCCTATCTCTATAAAATTTAATAAACTTTGATCTTGTTTTTACAGGCACAAATATAATTTTAGTTTAATAAAAAAGTTTATAAATGTTTTGGATTTATTAAAGCTTGTATTAAACATAAACAAACACCCTGTAAAAAGCCATGATTTATATGACAACAGCTGGCCCAAAGAATGTCACTCGCTTCAAATGACTTTTAGCATACAGTCGCCATATCTACATCTGAATCTGTATACATGTGTGTATTTCTCTCAGTGGTCGGTGTCTTCGGGCCCTCTCCCACCACCGCCAGGCAGCACCCAACCCAACCCAGAGCCCCCTCTGGTCAAGTGGGCAAATGTCCTATGCCATTTTTTGGGGCCGCCTCCTCAGTTCGATATAGACACATTTATTTAGAATATGGCGATGGCTATATGTGCTAGTCCATATATTTATTCATTTCGATGTATATTTATATTTATATTTTTTCCGAATTTATTTCCTGATGATGATGTTTTATTTTCATGTTCGCACACGCTTTCAACGCTCGCTTTTTGGCCGACTGTTTGATGTTGTTCTGGCCGCCACTTGTGTTTGTTGTACAACGAATTGACCACTCGAACTTGGTGGCCACGAGCTCTAAATTAGACGCTGTTCACTCGCGTAGGGGTTCTTGTTTTGTTCGTTTATGTTTATTTATTGTGCACTTCCTACGACAAATTTCCAAAGAGATTTCGGCGGTTGGACTTTCTCGAATTGCAAAACGGATAGACAGTTAATTAGAGACCCGAAGCTGTCCACACGCTGTGGAAGTTGCCACCGCGAGTGGAACCATATGGCGAAGGGTGGCCTCTCCCCTATTTTGTTGCTGTTGCGGCCCATGCCACGCCCTGGCGGTCTTCCAAGTTGAGCAACTGCAAAGAGTCAGAGAAAAAACACACATTATATATATAAGATAAGATATTATTTAAGCAGGCATAAATATTAGGAGCAACAACAGCAAACATTGGAAAACATTTGGCTGGCCGTATTTATTTTATAAATAAAATACATTTTCTTTTTATGAATGTTTCTGCTCATCAAAGTGCTGCCGCAGAGGCGTTTCTCGCTAGTTGTTTTTCCTTTCCCGTTCTAATTTTTTCCACTTTTTTTAATTTTAAAATTTATATTATTTGGCCGGACTGAGCAGCACTCTGGCTTGGGGACGCGTTGGCGTATAATTAATTTTGTGGCAAAACGAATTTCGTTCAGTTTCGAGTATAAATAGATTAAAAGTTTGATTTTATTAATGAGTTCTCCAAGTGATGGGAAGGGTATGCTACGTGCTAGATTGAGATACATGGAAGCAAGTTTCGGCAGTGAATTTGTCAGCCAAAGACGGAATTTCAAATGGCCAAAATCAGAAGGTTAACGGATGAATGACAAGCGATGACAACGGCAACGGAAGCACTTGCTATGGAACCCCTAAAATGGGGGCTGCGCCCGGCGCAGCTGTCTTGTATCTCTGTATCCGCAGCTGAATCTGTGTCTGTATCTGACTCTGTGTATCTGCATCTGTGCCTGTATATCCGCCCCCATCCTGCAGTAAACTCTCGAACATTAGCAGTCCCCGAATGCCAATGTTAATGTCATGAAAATCATTTTTTAAATTTTAATTCGGGTCTGCGTAATTTTCGTACATTCTATGTAGTTCGTATACCTAGTAGATGTAGATGTTCTTGCTCTTGGCATTGAACGGCCTCGCGAGTTTAGTTTCTGGTTGTTTGTTGCCAAATTGCTGGCAAATTACGTTGCACTGCCGACGCGCCTCTTCCGAGCTGCCGCACGATGCAACAGCACAAGTGTTTTGTGGGAAATATCAATAAAGTGAGTGCCCCAGTTTCCTTGGATTCTGAGGAGACCTGGCCCTCGGCTAATTAACTCAAAAAATACTTTGCAGCACAAGTTTTCGGGCATGCTCTATCTTATTTAAAGTTTTAATTAATTAACTTGCATTTATTTTTATTTAATAAACAGAACTTTTCGTTTTAACACGCACTCACGAAATTCTCATTTCTGCCTTGTCCTCCCTCCCACCCTCTTCGAGTGTGTCGCCCTTATTTGCTCTTGGCAATTCGCCACACCCCCTACCTGTACGCCCCCACACCTGGCGCACCTGCCTCGTCGGAAAATACATACACCTGCGCTGCAACGTATGGCTCCTCTCGTCTGTAAATTTTTTCTTTTAATTTAACTTTCATGAAATCGTTTTGAAGGATAACAAATAATTGTTGGGACTTTAAAGCTTAGGCAAAATTTAAAATATGGTAAATTAACTAAGTTTTGGAGTGCCTTTTGGCACTCTTGATTGATGGTTGAATGGGATCTTCTCCTCTTTTTGGTAAAAAATCTACCAATATTTGAAAATGTAAGGTGGGGAACTTAAAAGGCGTACGAGCTTTTGGCTTTGTTCATTTTCTCGTATTTTAGCAACGATTCAATCAACATCCAACAAACTAGTTAAGATAAGATCAAAATGGCGGGTCTTATTAGCATCTTTTCGAAAAAGTTCGTCCTATCTTAGGTCTCTTCTAGCAAAACGAGTTAAATTATTCATATTTAAATATTTAATTAAAATAGATAAATTTTCTCATGTCTTAAACCTACATTTAAACGAATTTAATTTTAAAAAAGCATACATTTTATAGACATCAATGGAAAATATAAAATTTTGTCTTTTTTTTACAATTAGGTTGCTGAAAAATCCAAATAAATATTTTTGTTGCCTATGTTTGGTTTAAGTTATACAAAAATGTACATACATACTTTTAATCTAAGTCTGATTCAAGAAAAGCCGATACATAACACTTGAGGTATCAGTTTATATAGTTTATTATTATTAGATATAATAATAAACTAGTAAAATAATATATTATTAGATATCAAGTTTGTGTATGCTTTGGAGCTTTTATTTTATGTATAAAAAAATCAATTTTTAAGATTTCCCCTTTTTCGATTTTTTTTCCTTAATGTTCTTGTCAATTTAAAGAAAATTAATTTTTGCATGAAACCCAACACATATACATATTTTAGATTTAACCAATGAATACTTACTAAAAGCCATAATATTCCAATTCAACAAATACTTTTAATTGGCTTTCTAAGCAAAAAATTCCAAGAGTTCGAACAATTTGTTCTATTAAATAAATTAAGGACCTAAGCTTCTTAATTAGACAGACACATTAGAAAACAATGTGGTTCTGCAAAGGCTTTATTTAATTCCGTGCTACTGGTCGAAGTGAATTGGTATTTTATAAAAAATATAAAATCCATTTAATTTAATTGCCCGCGTCACTTTGCTGGACCACACAACCAAATACATCCATCCATCTCTATAAATATGGAAATAAAAATACAGAGAAACACACATAAAGATGAAATGCCCGCAATGGTGCTTCTGCTTTTTCATCGGCAATGCGTAAACAATTTTAATTTCATTTAAAAATGTTATTTTGCCCTTTTTTCGGATCGGTTCGGCTCGGCTTTTTTATTTGGTGAATTCATTTGTGTTGACAAGGTGCTTGACTGGCATAATAACCCGTCAAGTGTCACCATAGAAAAAGCCTGGCAGCATCGAAGTGCCACAGACGATTGTCCGCCGGTGGCACTTTAATGCATAAATTTTCAACCGATTAAAGGCGATTTATTTTGATGGATACGTCATGATCGGCATTATGGTCATCATGAGCACTGTAATCAGTGCAGTCGGTGACACACTCGAACTGCTAATGGAATCCCAGTCCAATTTTGTCACGAAGCCTGCAAATAAATCACACGAATAAAGCCCCACACAGTGCCACCCTCCCCTTAGTCCCCGGATCCGTGGCCCATTTCTCTCGGCTATGTGTGTGCACTTTTACATATTTAATTTTCGCTTTCTCCGCTGCAAATCTGCCTCACAAACACAGATTCAGATTCAGACAGAGGGGCTTTTCAATTTCGAGTTCCATAGATAAATATGCCAGCCCGCCTGCCTGGGAGGGAGGCCGTATTGTACTACCCAGTACAGATATTGTAAGCATATCGAGGGACGCCCAAGGCGTTGCGATTTTATTGGCCGTAAAGTAGGCAGCCATGAAATGGGAGTCAGGGTACGAGACTCTGGGCC